CAGCATGCTGGCTGGGGAATTCTGGGAGTTGAAGTCCACGCCTCTTAAAGTTGCCAAGTTTGAAAAACACTGCTATATAGTGTTTCGTCTCTTCTTTAGATGACCACCTATTGTTTAGGAAACGTGAAATTGTTTTTCTTTAAGCAATGGATAGCCTGCAAATGCCTGGCTTTTTCCATCTTTTTCTTTCTGAATTCTGCTCTGTGAAAACCTACATTCGTGCAAAGATTTCTGGGTTTTGAATCGTGTCCTCCTGTACGGACACGCACATACTCCGCTTAGATTCACACGTTGCACTGAGCTGTGCTTTGGCAAACCACCGTTGGTCTCCCCAAAGCAATAAATTGTGGTTTGCAAGCTCACACTAAGCCAAACTTAAACAAGAGACGTTCTGGGTCGGCCTGGTGTTTTCAACCAGATCTCTTTCACACAAATGCGCACACATGGATGCATGCTGGGGCGTTGAGTCATCCCCAAGAAAAGCTGCATGGTGTTGTCTGTATTGTTTTCTGAAGTGTACCATTTTCTTATTGTTCAGCTAGATCACTTTTAATTCTGGGGACTTTCATTTTTTCATTTTTACTTTTTTGGAGGGTGGGTTTTTTTTTCCTGATCTCCTCGTCTTCCTTTCCATTGCAATTCTGAGGCTTCTAGAAACGGCCACTCCATGAAATTCCCCCTTCTCAGAATTGCATAACGGTTGACTTCCTTCCATTCACCGCTTGTGGGTTGGGTTGCGAGACTCCGACTCGGCCAATTTGAAGGTCCTCCTTTTATCAAGACAAAAATACGGCCCGTTCTTCCTCTCCTTGTTGACTTTCTCGCCCATGACCCTGACCGTCAACCCCGCCATTTGAGAGCCCGTCAAGGCTTAAAGGGTTCTCGAGCCCCTGATGCCCTGCAAGATGGGAATTGTAACGCTGAGCACCTGCAGACCCATTTCCTCAACTGGGCAGGGCGGCGGGTGTCAGTTGCTGCCTGCGGGCCTGTAGTGCAAAAGGAAACAGGCTCGTCTCTGTGGTCAAGGAAGTTGCAGAAGGAGTTGAGTCAGCCGTACACTAGGTCTGTGGTTGTTGACTGCTTTCGGGATTTTGGCTTTTCAGAGGGAAAGCGTTGCTAACTGCCAACCCGGTCCCTTTCATTTTC